AGTGACCTTCAGGAATTGCTAGGATGGCCTAGCAGCTAAAGTCCTCACCTTGCACATGCTGGGTTCTCATGTGGTCACAGGTTCTATTCCCAGCAATCCTGCTTCCCATCTAGCTCCCTGCTTGTGGCCTGGGAAAGAGTAGATGACATGTGCTTTGGGGCCCTGTAACCACGTGGGAGACCTGGCTCTTGACTTTGAATCAGCTCAGTTTTGGCCATTGTGGATGCTTGGGGAGTGAATCATCAGATGGAAGATCTTCCTCTCTGTCTCTTCTCCTCTTTGTATGTCTCACTTTCCAATAAAAATAAAAATAAAAAGATTCCAGATGTAAAGACCCTTGGACTAATGCTCGTCTCAAAGGTCCCAAGACAAAGGAATACAAGAAGATAAGGGATGAGATGGTATTGCGCACAGGGTGTCCAGTGCTGTGGGCCTCAGGGCCAAGGGGACTACAGGACACCAGGCCATCTCCTTCCTGCGTGTTTCTAAGCTTGGTGGGGGCCACCCCGAGCCCTCCACCTCTATGCAAGTGAGATAGTCACTAGCCTCCAAGTCACTGCGACAGCATTCCCTGACAAGAACCAAAAGAGGAAGTGATGGCAGGCCACATAAGAGTCAACCATGGGCCAGAGTGGCCTGGGGCCAAGCGAGAGTACAGCTGCAGGGCGGGAGGAGCTGGAAGGTGTTTGTGTCATGGTGCTGCAGCGCATTCCGATCCCTGCCCCAGGTGTTGAGTTCTTGTCCTCAGAGCAGGTGCGCAAAGTCTGATGGATCCTGACCAGATAGTCCATTAACTTTCCAGAAAGGGCCACGCTGAGCCCAGCGCTAGCACCCTGAATATACACATGCTGGCTTGGGTTGGCCCCCAGCCCTGCCTGCTTCCTTGGGCTGACCCAAACAACAGGCAGCCTGTCTCAGTGTTGATCACAGTGTAAGTTGTCCCCAGACTTGGATTTTTTATTTAAAGATTTATTTATTTTTGCTGGAAAGGCAGATTTATAGATAGAAGGAGAAACACAGAAAGAGAAATCTTCTGTGCACTAGTTCATTCCCCAAACAGCTGATGGCCGGAGCTGAGCAAATACACAGCCAGGAGCTAAGAGCTTCTTCTGGGTCTCCCATGCTGGTACAGGGTCCCAAGGCTTGGGGCCATCCTCGACTGCTTTCCCAGGCCACAAGCAGGGAGCTGGATGGGAAGTGGAGTAGCTGGTGTATGAATCAGTGGCCATATGGGATGCCACTGTGCTAGTCCCCAGATTTGGGTCTATCTTCTCTCACTCTCTCTCTAACATCCTGTCTTGAGGTGAGTCTTCTGGGAAAATGATTCATTCACCACAGAATTGCTCTGATAAAGTATGACCCCCAGTTATGCCATTGCCCCCCTGGCATTATAGGTATCTCTGCAGAAGGAAATTCAAGCCCACATACAGATCCTACAAGGCCAGACAACCAGATCCCTGTCACACTTGGCCATGTACTTGGCTCCACCTGTATCCCGCACACTCGGCTAACTTTGCCTTCGAGTACCCTTCCTCCTCGCTTTTACTGCTGGATGAGCGCTAGTGGGGGAAGGCTAGATGGTTCCTAGGACGCTGCCCCTCCTCAGGTGGTCCCAGAGGATGGTTCCTTCTTGCTGTGGCTCCCAGTGGCCCGGGTGGCGCTGCCCTGGGCGTGTGTGCTACTTTCCAACAGTCCATTCCCACAGCAGTTTTCATTTCAAAAGCAGAGGAGCCTTATCTTGACAATTCGTGCTAAATTCTTCCACCACTGTCTTCCCTTCCTCTTTCCTCTCCCCACGATTAGGAAATCACTAGACTACTGTTGAAATCCAAAGGACTTTTACTCAATGTACCTGCCAATCGCTGTCCTGTGCTTCAGGATTATACAGGGGATCCAAAAGAAGAACGAGGCAGGCAAGAACTATGGAGCCGTGTCTGTCTTCTAAGCCATCCCCCTGGGCTTCTGATTCCGTTTGAAATCTGCAGCAGGAGAGGTGTCCCTCAGAAGAGTGTAAGGGTTTCCCATAAACAAGGTTATACCTGGCATCTTTCTGGTGTCCCCGAGGAAGACATATTTTCATCTGACCAAATCTGAGACTATCAATGGGAGACATCAGTTTAGAAATAAGGATACATTGAGGATAGGAAACCAGTGGCGTTGGTGTACAGAGTCCTAACATGCCCTGTTTCTATGTAAAAAAAAAAATCTCTAACAAGAAGCATGCGTGTTGCTTGGCTCATCCTCTTGACACCGCTGAAGTCACTGCAGCAGTAGGCCCTGCTACAAGCAGCTGGGGGGTCTTCCCTGGGGAAGGCAGGAACATGAACATAGCATATGCAAAAAGCTGAAGTGCAATGTGTCCTTAATAGTAAATGCATTTCCTGTTTAACACGTTAAAAAGGAGGGATTTAGGCCAATGCTTTTGCTCTTTTGAATATTTATTTATTTAGAAGACAGAAGCAAGAAGGAAAGATGCCCTCCACCCACTGGTTCACTCTCCAACAAAAGAAGTCCAACAGGCCTTCTTTTGGGTCTCCCACATTGGTGGCAGGGACCCAATAACTTAGGGTGTCCTTGGCTCCCCTCCCAGGCAGGAAACTAGATTGGAAGTGGAGTAGTCAGGACTCCAACTGCTATCTATATGGGATGTGCTTTCCCAAGCAGCAGCTTAAGCCACAGCTCCATGATGCTTACTCTTAACCGACGCTTTTCAAGCCAACCTAGTCACTGAGAGCAAGGAGAGGCAGACACACCATTTCCTTGAGGATCCCTAACTGAGTGTGATTCAAGAGGCGGCGATAGGAGCAGATACATAGAGCCCTCAGCTCATGTACAGAAACGGAAGGGCTTGCCCCCCCCCCCCAATGCAGCAGTATAGTGAAGATTTTAGTGCAACACTTAAAATTACGTACAAGTCAGATCGTGTAGCCATCCCGGATTTTTATGTGAGCTTTTATTTGAAAGAGCATTGCGGTACAGTTACTTACTTTGACTTCTGGTTTTGCCTCCCAAGGGTATCTCAGGCCCCTTCCTCCCAGGTGGGCCCTGCCTCCCAAATGCATGTGCCAGAAGATCAAGCCCTACTTGCCACCATGGAGAGGGAAAACGCCACCGGAGCAGATGGGTGGGAACAAGAAGCAAATGAGGAAAACAGTCCAATCATCAAAGAGAGATAAACATTAAATAGCAAAGACACTGATAGGCCCGCTCAGGCTTTGTCACAGGGACTCGGTTTAAAATATCACGCGTCCAGCCGGTGGGAGTGGCCACTTTAGCGCACTTCACTTTTTTTTTTTTAGGGAAACCTTGCCTCTGGTTCCCAAGATGGCAAAGATGTCCTGATCTGCCTCCTGCAGCCGGGAGGGCTGGGGCGCGGGGTGGTGCGTGGGGGAAACCCGCAAAAGCCGAAGGACGGCGTCTGAGATGGGACTCCTGTCATGGTTTGGGGACCCAGGTGCCACATGCACTTGCACCCCTATTGTTCCGGGGTGCTGCCTCTTCTCTCACCTTTAAGCCTCTGAAAGCTTTTCAGCCACAGGCAAATAAATGGTCAACCTTCCCTCTCCCCTCCTTTTTTTCCACCCAGGAAAAAGTGACAGGGAGGAGGGTTATAAATTTCGGTCCGCACCGCCCAGGCCCGCCAAACACTGGGTTACTCCCGAGCCCCACAAACCCCGACTCCCCGGGCACCCAGGCGAGGGCGCAGAGTGGCACAGCGCCCCAGCCCCAGGTGGCGGCGACCCCTTCCGGCAGGGCCGCGCCCCGGCTCCGGCGGCTCCGGCGGCTCCGGCGCTCGCAGCTCCGCCCGCCCAGGTTCCCGGTCCCCGGCGCGGGCCGCCCCGCCGCGCAGCCCTCCCCGCGCCGGCTCCCGCCGGGGACGTCCCTCCCGCGCAGCCCAGGGCCCGCCCCACGTGACCAGTCGCCGCCGCGGCTCCCGGCCAGGGTTGAAAGGTTAGGGGCCTGTCCCCGAGGGCGCGCCCCGCTTCCCGCAGCCCACACGGCCGCCCCCGCGGCCCTCAGGGGCGCAGACGCTGCCGGCGCACGTCGGAAAGAGTCACTTTGGGGGAAAAGTAAACAGACACGGGGCGGACCGGGGCGCTGCCAAGCTTTCACTTGTCCAAGAATTCCCGCAGCCCCAACAAGTCCCGGGCAGGTCCTGAAGAGGGGTGCGTCCCCCTCACCCCGAGAAGGAGACCACAGAAACCGCGTCGCAAACGCAGGCCGAGGCGGGCTCGCTTTCCAGCCCCGCGGCCGCCTCAGCGTCCCGGGACGCCGGGGCAGCCAGGTCACTCCGCAGGCCGCTGGCCGAGCGAGCTGGGGCTGGGGCCAGGGCCGGGGCCAGAGACGGGCCCGGGTCTTCCGGGGGGCCTCGGGGCCGCCACCACTCCCCCATGCCGGGACTCTGTGAGACCAGCTGGCCCTCAGAGGCTCCGAGAAGCACGTCGCCGCTCAGGTCCGGGTCCGCAGGACTGAGCCCCAGCGCTCGGCATCCGCGCCTCGGCCCGGGCGCTCCCTCACACCCGGCGCGGGGGTCCCCGCCCGCCGCCCGCCGCCCGCCGCCCGCCGCCGCGACCTGGGCAGGCTAGCTCGCTGTCTGCCACTTCTGGGCTCGGCTCACTTTTCGGGTATTGCTCCCCCAACCGGCAAAACTTTCTATTTCCCCCAACACGGGCGTGCACGCGCGCGCGCGTGCACACACACACACACCCAGACACACACAGACACACACACAGACACAGACACATACAGACACACACACACAGACGCGCGCACACACACACTGACGTCTTTTGCGCATTTCCTGCATTAGAGGAGGCAGCCGCGCTCGCACACCGACCGACGGAGCCGAGACCGCGGGGTGGAGCGGGCTGGCGGGGCGGCGAGCGAGCGGCGGCCCAGAGCGGGGACGCGGGCAGCGGGCGCGCGGGCGCCGGCGCCCGGGAGGTGGGGCCGCAGCAAGTCGCAGTCCGGCCCCGCCGCCGCGCCGCGCACCGCCGGGAGCCGAGCCGGCCTGCGCCCCGAGCCCCAGCGCAGCCGCCCCGGCTCCCGCGCCCGCGCGGATGTGAGATTCCGGGCTCCTGGCGCCTGCTGATCGCCGGCTGCGGCGCGGCGCTGCGCTGCTTGGCCCGAGAGCAAAGGACCGGGCTTGGCTGTGCGATTTGTGGATTTAAAAAAAAAAATTTTTTTTTTTTTTTTAAATTTGGCTCGAAGGAGTTGGAGGAGGAGGACCATTTCCTCTCGACATGCATCCCTCTGGATAGACTGAACATCCCTCGGTCCACCCCCGCCCGGAGCGGCCAGAGGCAGGCGCTGGGTGCGCGAAGAGGATCCGGGTTGAAATCTGCGCCCCCGGCTCGCGTCCCCGCCCCGTGCCGGCGCCCCCTCCCCCTCCCGCAGTCGAAATTTCCCGGGATTATGTTTCGGAAAGGTAGGTAAGCGCCGGGCGCGGTGCCCGCTCCGCGCAGCCCGGACCCAGAGAGCCGGCCCGGCGGCCTCGGCTCGCGCCGCGAGCAGAGTCAGCTCCGTTTCCTCGGCTGGAGGTGCAGCCAGTGGCGAGGGTGGGGGGGGAGAGACTCGCTCCAACGCGGACGCCCCCAGCTCTCCCCCCCTCGGCTGCTTTCCGTTAGAGAAGCCTGGTGAGAAACTACATGCCCTCTCTGAGACTCGCCAGGGCCGGGGCGCAGTGCCACAAGGTGTAAGGAGTGTGCGGGGAGGGGCGACAGGGGCCCCAGGAGTCCACCGCCGCCGCTGCCGTCGGTTCTTCATTCCGGCCTTCGGGGCGGACAGAGTGACCCCGGCCCCTACTCCCTGACCATGGTAGTGTTCAATGGCCTTCTGAAGATCAAAATCTGCGAGGCCGTGAGCTTGAAGCCCACAGCCTGGTCGCTGCGCCATGCAGTGGGACCCCGGCCGCAGACTTTCCTTCTCGACCCCTACATCGCCCTCAACGTGGACGACTCGCGCATCGGCCAGACAGCCACTAAGCAGAAGACTAACAGCCCGGCCTGGCACGACGAGTTTGTCACTGATGTGTGCAATGGGCGCAAGATCGAGTTGGCCGTTTTTCACGATGCCCCCATCGGCTACGACGACTTCGTGGCCAACTGCACCATCCAGTTCGAGGAGTTGCTGCAGAACGGGAGCCGCCACTTCGAGGACTGGGTGAGTCTCGCACCTCCGTGCCCGGGGTACTCGACATGGGGTCCCCGTGGTTGGGAGAGAGAGAGAGAGAGCGCGGAGAAGCGTGCGTGTGAGGAAGAGGGGACCTGGGAAGAGGCTGTGGGCCCTCTGCCCTCCCTCTTGCCCTCTGGATGGCGAGAGCTCGCCAGCTGGGAGAGTCCGGTGTGCTGGTGCTGAAGGCTGGTGGAGGACGCAGCGCGTGGTGGCCTGGCCGTGTGTGACTGTGCGTGGGTGGGCCCCTCCGTCCTTGGAGAGGCACGTGGAGAGCAGGACTGAAGGCTTCTTGCTGCGTCCTGGCTTTGTCCTGTCAGGCCTCCTGAGTGAGCACTTGTTTTATTCTTCCCCTCTGGAGGGAAGCTTGCTTGTGTTCTCCTGCCTTGCACAGTGGTCAGCTCTACTTCTGACATTCGAGGAGAAAAACACCTCCTCAGGATGTCCACTTGAGGGGCCCCAGACACAGCAGCCCAGTTCAGGGAAGCCCTGGCCCTGCCCTGCCCATGTGTCCGGCATGAAAGCGATGCTTCCAACGACGATTCTGCTTGTATATGATTGGCGGTCATTGCTTTGAATCTCGAAGTTACATCGATGTCCTGGTTCACGTGTGGAGGCCCTGTGATGTGAATTGCCCGTTGAGAGGTCTGGGTGAATTGATTACCTTGTCAAAACACTAGGGACTTGGAAATGGGCCTTGTCATTATTCTGGAAAGCACATGCATACCTTGGCATTTGGACAAGCAGAGAGAAGCAAGGTTGGGTTTGAGGTGCTCTTCTGGAGCAGGTGTTGTGCTGGGAGATGGAGTTCTGCCTTTTCTGGTTTGTTCTTTGGGTCCACTGAGAGAAGCTGTTGACACTGATGTGGCTGCTTTCAGGGTTCTCTGGTCTGCGTGCAAAGAGAGGCGTCGGGCTGGGGAGGAGACACAGAGGGGTCACTTTGGGTGGCAGAGCAACTTGGTGGATGCCCCAGGGGTCTGAGGTCGCATTGGAATCACCTTGGTGCATCGTTTTCCCCTGTTATTTTTACATTTTATTTACTTATTGTTAGGACATGGAGCTTTTAGGGCTTAATAGGAAAGAGCCTTTTCTTCTTGTGCTCGTGGCTCTGGTGTAGTCTGCCTGAAACCATGGTTACCGGGCTTACAGGGAAGCGCTAACAAGCACAGCCCTAGGAGGTTGGTGGCTTCTCTGAGAAGCAGACAGACCTTGGTAGCATCCCAGAGCACTCAGCGGCCTCCCGTGGCGTCTCACAGGTGCTCCCACATGATCCCCTGTTGCCTTCCCTTTCACTCCTGGAGGCAGTTTGTATGTGGGAGAGCTGAAGGAATCGCTCATTTCAAAGCCAAACTTCAACTTCAAAAGCTGTGTTTGAGCTTGTTGTTGACCAGAAAGGGGAAGGAAGAAACCCACCTTAACCGTGGCCTTAAGGAGCTGGCTGTCTTCTGCTGAGAGCAGGGCAGATTGGCAGCACAGAGTGGGCACTGGCTGGAGAGCCTGTGCTGGAGCATCCCTGGTGAAGCTTCGTGGGGTCTGCTCAACCCTGGGCATATCAGAGCACCCATACACCATTTCAACATGCCTAGTGAAGCGTGCGGTGGGAATTACTTGCTTATCATCCTCTAAGGATCTCAAATTCACCTTGGACTTGGCTCTAGACCAGATCACCCAAGGTACAGGCAAGTTTTCATAGACAAGGTCATTGAGCTCTGGAGGCACTAACCGGGTACCCAAGGTCATATGGCACGCCAAGATGGGTAGGAAGCAGGGCCCCTCTTCCTTCTACCTCCTACTGCAGCCCATCTGGCTTCCTCATCTATTTATTCGGCCTGCAGATTCATTGCTGTGTCCATGACATTTTTATTGCGTGTGATAACTTAAAGTGCTTTCAAAATCATTATCTTTTCTGCCCGATAGCCAGTGTGAGTTAGGTATGACAGCTACTGCACATATTTAAAAGCATGAGCCACAGGGAAGCCCGGAGTCGTAGAATGGAGGAGAGGAACTGCTGCTTATTACTCATCTGGGGTTGTTTTTCCTGGAGAAGGCTGTGCCACTTGACACACAGACCTTAATTGCAACGGGGCTGACTCAGGCCACCTTTTCCATTCCCATTATCCAGGGTACACCCACAGCATGACACCTGTGGGTAGAATTTGCTGGGCTCAGGCCTCTTTACCTGGAAGCAAAAAGGGGACACACCCTTTCTCAGGTGTCAGGGGAGTGGGAAACAGGAGCTTCTGCCCCTGCAGTGCAACATCGCACTCCACTCCGCTCTGCAGTCATGCGGATTCAGGAAGCTTCTGTTCCGTGCTCAGCTCCAGCTGGTGGTACTTAGCTTGGGAGGCAATTCTGAGGTGAAAGGGGCTGTGGGTTGCTCTCCAGGGGCCTGCATTTCACTAGGGAAATGACACCACTGTAGGTCCATTTAGCCCCTTCAGGAACAACTAGAAGCCAAATGAGCAGTGCCAGTCAATGTGTTAAAAAGATTCAGCATGGTCATATAGTTGGAGAGCTGGGAGAATCCAGGGGGGTCCTGGAGGGAGGCACGAATTGGACAGGAAAGAGTAGATAATATTTAAGAGCAGGCAGCGCTACAGTGTGCAGTGGGCTGAGATAAAGGCAGAGAGTGCCTGCTGCCAGAGCTGCAGAGGAGGCTGGCAGGGTTGACACCAGAGGCACCTGTCAGAAATTACCAGGCAGTATAAGATTTCCTCGATTTAGACAGACCCCTTCCCCGCTTTTTCCCCTAGGTACAGCCTGTGCTGCTTATTGAAGTTTTAAAAAACACAATTCTTTTATTTTCCACTTAATCTTAAGTCCCACTATTCATAACATCATAGGCTTAAATAGTTAGGCTCTCTTTGTTCAGATAGAAGTCTTCACAAAGCGAAAACAAAAAGTTCACTTCAGGTGCCTCTTATCAGCATTAGTGATGTGAGGTTTACACTTTTGAAACACCAGAGTAGGGAAAAGTTTAGGACACTGAGGAGGATTCCCAAGCATTTATAAGCCAGGCTGAGATAATGATCCTCCAGATAATGAGAAATATTTCAGTTGTGATGACAAAGAGGGCCGCTTTGGAGGAAAGTCATTACAGAGAAGGAAAGATTTCACTTCTGCTTGTGGCAGAATCCATGATCACAGCGTTGCTGTGGCTAGGTTTTCCAAGAACCAGATAATGGTGCTTCTCAGATCTTAGTGTGCCTGGCAGCTGCTAGTGAACGATTTTTAAAGCATAGGGCCTCTGACCCCAGGTTCAGGGCTTTTGTTGCTGTGGTTTAGGATGAGTACTGGCAATGGGCCTTTACAACAAGTTGTCATCTCAGGGATTCTGATCTTACCCTGCTTACTTTGAGAAATGTCAGCTAAGAGACAAATTGCCATCAGGGGAAGTTCTAGAAAATTAATGGATCCGATTTTTCACATACAGGATTGTCCTGCAATCATGTTGTTGAGTGTCCTAATGCCTAACGCCAGATTAGTAAGGATGCCTGTATGGGATTTGCGGTGGGAGCAGGGGTTGAGTGTAAACAGGCTGGAGTGGCATTTGCATCTGGAAGAAGAGCTTGGGAGTGGACTTCCAGGGCTGCCGGCAAACAGGTGCCAGCTGGCTGCTTGCTTCACTCTCTGGGCTTGTGCTGCTGTTACCTCCTTGCTTTTCATCCTGTGCTTTGTTCCGGGGCTCCATCTCTGAAGATGCCTTGATGTCACGGGGCTCTCTGGAGCGCAGCTGCTCATAGAACAGTGGTGATGACAAAAAGGCATCCTTGGAGAGGTCCTCCCCATACAGGAGAGGTAGTTCTGCAGGCAGACTTTGTGGGTTTGAATGCCGTGTCCCTCACCTGCCCTTTCTGACCTTTGTTGAACGATGTCACCTTTCAGTAGAGATGTTCTTTCCTTTATGAAACATGGGTGACACTAAAAGGCCCTACCTATAATGAAATGGGGTTACTGCAGGGATTAAATGAGTAAATCCGTGTCAAGTGCAGAGACCGATAGCTCTTAGTAACTGCTTAGTCAATGATTAACTGCTACAGTTGTCATGACTGGGTCCCCTAGTCCTAGCATGAGGCTGCTCTGGAGAGGGTTCTTCACTGAGTTACAGGTTTCTCATAGGCTGTCAAGTGGCGCTCTTCGGCTGTACAGTCTCACTGGACAAGAAATAAGAAAGTGGATTTGTTTCTGGGGAGGCCCATCTTCTCAAGATGATGGCATGCATCTCTGATGGGCCAGGAGAAATGCCTACACACTGTTGGGAGAGGTCGGACTTTGGGGCTGCTTCACCCCTCCATGGATCACTAGGATTGCATGGGGGAGCATCTTACAATGCAAAGGCCAGGGCACAGCCCGCAGCTGTTGGGCTGCTGAGATCCTGGTTAGTGGGAACTGGCAGCCAGATGTTAGGCTCACCATGAGGACCCCTGCTGAGCCTCACCCCATGGGATGGGCCCTTAGGCGGGTATCATTGCTGCAAGGTGTGGCTTCATCTTTAGGACATTGTCTCAGAGACTTTGAGGGTCTCTAAAGCCTCAAGGTGTCATTTAGAGTGAGTGGGAAGGGTTTGCAAATGGAACTGTGAAAAGACCGGAAGTAATCTTCCCACACCTGCTACTCCCACGGGTGCTTCTGCTTTGACTTGGCATCTGCAGCAGCTCTTTTCCAGAACTTTCTCTGCTCCTAGCACACTCACCAGCCATCTCATTGACTGCTGCTTGCCCTGGTACTTAGCAGTGGGTTAACGGCTGGGCTATGGGTTAACTCTTGGCCCAGTGCTATCTCAGACAGCCTCCTGGTGTTAAGTCTTAGAGTTAAGAGCATGGGGTAATCAGCCTCTGGCCTCATGAGCAGCCCGGCCTTATCTGGGTTTCCTTATTCTCCTTCTTGGTATCTCTGACACCAGGCCTGCTCAGGAACACTGGAGGTCCTCATGCCCCTGGATCCTCCCTGAATCCATCTCTGAAATTATTGAGTTACAGCTATCAGCTGTC